TTTGCCCAGCATTGCATTTTTTTGAATCTTAAATGTAGAAAATTATTCCTATATTCTTATAAAGGAGAGGTTCGTGAAGCCTCTTGACCAAGACTGAATGATTGAATCAAAGTCTGTTTTTGCTGAATTAAACTTGTCTTTTTATGTACTTGCCTGGGATTTTTTGTTTGCCTTGATGCATTCAACAAACAACTCATACTTTTCATATGAACCTGCGATGTGGCTGTTTAATTGCTAGAAGCCATGGAAACCAAGGGAGTGTTTTTTCCTGGTGAGCAAGACAGGATATGAAAAAAAGTACACTCTAAGTTAGGGAATCTTGCCACAACTGTCTTTTTGTATAAAGTGAGTCTAAGAAATATTTCTTTATGACCAGGATGTAAAAAAGAAAATTGCTTTTGAAAGGTCTTGGAGCCAATTTCATAGACACCTTAAAGGGTTTTTGTTTTAACAAGCTATTTCTGGCAAATGAGGTCCTAGTACCAAATGCATATCACAAATTCCTGAGACATCTTCTTGAAGCTATTTAACACAGTGATGTTTTTATGACCTTTCCTGAAGGATATGTAAAACGAAACCAAACTTACTGCCATGGAGTCAGATACAGTCAGATACCACTCATAGCAAGCCCTCCTTGGGTTTCTGAGGCAGTATCACTACAGAAGTGGATTGCTCCATCTTCCTTCCGAGGAGTGGCTGGTGGGTTTAAACTACTAACCTTCTAGCTAGCAGTAAAATCCCTTAGGCACTATGCCACCAGAGCTCTCTATAATTATTCCTTGAAATCAATTGCTGTAAGCCTCTGTACTCAATTATACAACGGAAGCCCATTTTCTGTCCTTAACACATCCTCCTTGTGATCTCAGCCAGAGACTTACCAATCAAATAACTGTATTGTAATTTTTCTACACCCCAGACTATACCTATCATTGTTAAAACACTTTAATTGGAATAATCATTTCTCACTTACATGGGCTGGTGTCTCCCTGCATTTAAATAAACCCTTTTTCTTTTTTTCTGAATACATCCTTTTAATTTCATTTTAAGGGCTGTGTGGGTTCCTTCTGCTACAACACTCTCATAAGGTAAGGAGAAATTAAGTTTCAAAAAACTGAGGTAACTTACATGAAGTTACAGAGCTAATGGCTCATTTTCTGCTTCCAAATTCAATGCTCCAGCATTAAATATGCATAGCTGTGTAGATGCATGCAATTTTGTGTGTGTATATATATATATATATATATGGAGCTCTGGTAGCACAGTGGCTAAAGCACTTGACTGCTAACCAGAAAGCTGGCGGTTCAAACCCACCAGCCATTCCTGGGAAGGAAAGTTGGGCAATCCTACTTCCGTAGTGATACTGCCTCGGAAACCCAAGGAGGGGTCACTATGAGTCGGGGCCAGCTTCACGGCACATAACAACAACAACAACATAAATATATATAGGAGCTCTGGTAGCGTAGTGTCTAAGGCACTTGACTGCTAACCAGAAGTCTGGTGTTTCAAACCCACCAGCCACTCTTGGGAAGGAAAGTTGGGCAATCCTACTTCCGTAGTGATACTGCCTCGGAAACCCAAGGAGGGGTCACTATGAGTCGGGGCCAGCTTCACGGCACATAACAACAACAACAACAACATAAATATATATAGGAGCTCTGGTAGCGTAGTGTCTAAGGCACTTGACTGCTAACCAGAAGTCTGGTGTTTCAAACCCACCACTTGGAGGGAAGTTGGGCAATCCTACTTCCGTAGTGATACTGCCTCGGAAACCCAAGGAGGGGTCACTATGAGTCGGGGCCAGCTTCACGGCACATAACAACAACAACAACAACATAAATATATATAGGAGCTCTGGTAGCGTAGTGTCTAAGGCACTTGACTGCTAACCAGAAGTCTGGTGTTTCAAACCCACCAGCCACTCTTTGGAAGGAAGATGAGGCAATCTACTTCCATAGAGATACCGCCTCAGAAACCTGAGGATGGGTCGCTATGGGTTGTATCGAACTGGACGTCAGTGAGTTTGGTTTGGTTTTGGCAGAGATATACTAAACACAATAAAGTGCTATGTTTAACAGATACTGTTATGTTTAACATCACAGTATCTTATGCTTCTAAAGACAAAAATTGAGCTTAAAATAAATGAAAATGTATTATTAACAAGATGAGACATGCCAACTTTGAGTCAACACAAATATCTTGTGGGTTCTTAATCACCAATCTTTCTTCCAGTCAATGTTTAAGACCCCATTAGTGTCTCATACCAAAGACACGAAAGGGCTTTCTTAACTGCCTTAATATGATTAAGCCTTGCATGTCAAGATCCTTCCGTGATTGTACTCGTTATGCAGCAAAAGTTAGATTTTATTCTGGAAACCAGTGATTTCTTTATAATCTAGTATCACAACATTTAAATTTTCCTTCTGTATATG